ATTATTATTATATATATATATATATATATATATATATATATATATATATATATATATATATATATATAATAAATAAATATGATTACATATAGAGTTAAATAGAAGATGAAACGATCATGAATTGACGAGCAGTGGAAAATACGATGTTAACATATTTGTTATAGGTTTACATAACTTATAGTGTTCTTATCTTGAGAAATTGAAGCAAAAGCAACGTCATTCATCAAAACCTTAGCAAAATTGAGAAAATTACACGTATCGAACAAAGCTGGTTATGAGAAAAATTACCTCTTCTATTACTGAGAACAGGTAGTGACTTATGCCGTTGCATTTGGCCAAAGAACACACGAGTGAATGGAAAGGATGTGGATGAGCGGATTAAGCGAATGGAACGAAAGCAGATAAAATAGAACAACCAAAGCGTAGATCAGAGTAAGTAGTTTAGCCGAGCTAGTAGCAAGCCCAAGGAAGTGAAGGCAGAAGAAAAGGCAGAGGTATAAAGTGGAAATTGCACGTAGAAGAGAGCAGGAAGAACGAGAGCTTGAGAGAAGAAAAGATTTATGCAGTCTGCGACCTCGCCAACTTAATTGCATAGGGAAAATACATTCATTCGCTATAAAGATTGATTGAAAAATTGTTTCCGTAGATTAACAAATATTACGCGCGTTCTCTGTGTAAAAATATGTTTCCCTACGTTCAAAACGTTCAATGTACGTGTGTTTTAATACTGCGAAGTGGGTTCAGTCTATAAGTAAGAAATGATTACACTATGAAACGTACGTTTCGAAAGTGTTACAAGTGTTCTCCACAAATTGGAAAATAGAAATACGACGGAGCGATATTCCCGGGCATAAGATACTGTAGTCTTGCCGCTGTCCGACATAAATTTCACAGCTTAAGAACTTTTCCCCGCCGCGCCACCGTTACTTCCTTCACTCTCTTTCCCTTTATGCACAACATTACATAGAGCAATGGGTTCAAGAGTTGGTGTCTGGCGCGGCTGAAAAAGAATTCACAGCGGAATACATACCCCGGGCACCGTTGCACTATCAACACTTCTTTCAGGGTTGTCATGTTTTTACAAAATGCGGGACCCCTCCGGCGAGAACATAAAATTTCAAGCTATACTAGTTTTTCTTACGACGAAACCTCTCGTAACACACACTATTTTTATACACGCTGCATTTGTTACGAGTGCTCCGTAGATACATAGAAATTACCGCATAGATACAAGTGCCTGGTTCCTACATAATGCTGGTGCAGAGAAAACACGAACATTTTTAATTTCTTATTGTTGCAGAAAAATTGTGATTTGTAATTGATTTCCAAATGCTATTGCGCAAAGCATCTGCATCAGTTGCAAAGAACTATGTATTTCTTTTCTTACAAGTTTCAGTATTTTTGAGATGCTATAATGTTTCCATTGTTTCACCTAGTCAATTTTGTCATAAACGAGTAAAATCCGCAGTCTAGATCTCTAACACTCCTTCGGATACACCTGTCTCGAACAATCATCTCGCATAATACATAGAAATTATAGTTTTTCGAATGATTGCAGGGTAAGATTTTTTTCCGTAAATACTATATCTTTCTCGTTGATACGTCACCGCACAAATTTGCGAGCTCATTGTGTCTGCGTACGTGCACGCATCCTGTTCTTATTGTGGGTGTAAAGAATGCGCTTGAAGTGCAACGCTTTCTTAAACCGTGGAATCGAGTCTAGAGAACTGAGCTAGGAATTCTGCACGCAAAAAGGACAGAGCAAAGTAAGGAACTGTAATTACATTTTTACTTTACTTCACTTTTAAACCCTTCACAGAGCGGACAAATTCCTGTTTCAGCCCTGTGATTCCACGCGCAAAGGACGCTTATTTCATTTATTATGTAGTCACCTCGAGCTTTATAACTAGACAGCATGATGCAAAATGAAACTTTTCTGCCTCGATTTCAGGGAAGCAGAAGTTTCTTTCCCTGACGACTTCAATAAACTGAACATAAGAAAAGCTTTCTACTCTTTTAAACTTCAGCTGCTTATTTTGTCATAATTCCAATTTTATCTCAAATATTATTCTTTTAAAACTGATTTAATATTTGCTAGATATAATGAAATCTTTTTACTGTTTGAAATTGCAGCTGCACACCTCGTCATAATTCTAACTTCATCAAGCGCAAGCATTATTCTTTTAAAATCTATTTAACATTTGGTGGGCATAATGAAATGTGTTCGTACCCTTTCAAACTCAAACTACTCATTTTGTCATAATTCCAACTTTATCGCAGTTGTTATTCTTTTAAAATCTATTTAACATTTGATAGGTATAATGTAATGTAAATTGTAACGGCTCATTTTATCATAATTCGAATCTTGTCGCAATCATTAATCTTTGAAAACCGATTCAACGTTTGATGGATTTAATGGAATCTGTCTACTGTTTAAAATAGTAATTGCTCATTTTGTCGCAATCATTATTCTTTTAAAACCGATGCAACCTTCTGTGGGCATAATGAAATCTTTCTACCGTTAGAAATTGCAACTGCTCATTTTGTCATAACTCGAATTCTGTCGCAATCATTCTTTCAAAACTGATTCGATAGTCGTTTTTATTTTATGTAGTACCAAAGACCCGCGAGACAGGAGCGACAGAATCGACGAACAGTAGTTGTCGCATTTCGCATGGGCCACGATCGCGACTTGTCGACCGCCTTCGATCGTAAAAGGCCCTACTTCATTTCAACTTTTCCCTTCTTTTTGCAGGAGCATGTGAACCTGGTGGGAAGGGACGGGGAGAACGGGCCGGTCCTCGTCTCGGTGAAGGCCGAAACGGTCGCCGGACAGGAGCATTGGCGAGTCCTGTTACGACTGCGAGCAGGCTCGACCCACGAATTAGTACCAGCCGCAAACCTCGGCCCGAATCCATCGCCCGCGAAAATGGTCAAGGTGAAGTGTCTCTTCCTCTATGTCCGACACGTGCGAGTGTTCTTTTGTTTAATGCTTTCACCACTCTGGAATTTCCCCTTAGAACACTGTCGAGCTTCCAGAAGAGAAACTCCCAGGATTTTTAACGATCCCACACACAAACTAACACGATTTACCTATTAACTATTCCGAATCCTCCGCGAGAAATGGAAACTTGTACGTGTGTCCCTCACTTGATATAATACTTGACAAATTCAGCGTAGCTTCAAACTTTTCGAATACAGTTTCGTTACCATCGATACCATTTGTACAGTTAAGGTTTGCTATGAGAAAGTGAGGAGAATTCTTGTAACGTTTCAGTAATTCTAATCTGACCGAATTTTTCAGACTCTTTGCGTGTGATTACGTTTGACGATGGTTTAAGAAATCATTTTAATTTGGTTCAAGATATTCCATTATATTTTTTTATAAAAACACTTTATAAATTGTACGATTTCCACAATTCCCGCTGTATAATTGCATATCGATTTCTAAAGTTAATGCAACGTTATAAAACGATGATAATTCGAATGGTAAAAATGATTTAAGCTGAAAGCTTTCTTTTTCTTCGTGAAATCGTTTTAAACAATGATTCATAGTTGACATGTATCACAACGACTCGTGGCGAGAGCACGATTCGTATCATTCTTCTAATTGCCCTTAATTTGTGGTCGTAAAATAGTTGGATGTCTCTTCCTAGTTTTATTCGCTTATCAGAGCATAGGAAATTTGCACATTACATGACCGTTTAAAATAGCTCCGTAATTAATGGCACTGACCGTGTCGAAACGTGATTATTATATTTCTCTAATTGTTTTTTGTGATTTTAATTTTTCCGTGGTAGTAATCAGTCTTTTTGCGAAACGTTCCACCATTTCTCATTTTCTCTAATTTTATTTTTCCGTGAAACATGTTGGCTTGGAATATGTCGAAACGATTTTTGTTTTTAACCAGAATTCATTTGTCATGTCTATTTAAATAACTGAGCGCTCGGTGGGAAGTGATACGACTAACTGACAGCTATGACATTAACTATTTTCCATCGTTATTCAAAATAGTATATCTATCTAACTTAGAACTGTTCACACGAGTAATATTTACTAATTAAATGACGATTATGTCTATCATTCTTAAACATTTTAACTGTTCCTTTGTCTCTTCGGCGTTGAAAACGTAGTCTCTAATTCTTGTATGATACTACACTTGTATAAAGTTTCTTTAGATTATTTTCCTGATAGAATATCGATCCATTATCGAAGTATTTTCACGTTCATCACTCGTCCCCTTTTACACCTTTCCTTCTTGGTTCATACAAAAACCGTAAAAAGTATAGAGCTCTTCAGATGCTCGCTTATAATGACCTCCTTTCACCGTCCAAAATTCTTATTTTTCGCTTGCTAACGATACTTAATTGACCACTTTCTATCTTCCGATGTTACTGATATATCGTTTCTACCAGTCACCTGCAACGGTTTAGACTTTATTTTACATGATTCATTCGTTGAAAACGGTTCAGTTTATAGGTACAGTCAGTGTAAAAACTATCCGTACACTGAATTTCAGATTTTTGACAAATTGTCGATATTTGAACTATTTTTTTCCTAACTTCGTAGAAAAGTGTCATACCATAATAAATCGACCACGAGTTTGAAGATTGCAGCATTATAAGATTGGTCGTGCACAGCCTTCGTGTTTGTCCTACTGTAAAGTAGGCAGTACACCTTTTAATCGAAGCTCAATGGAGTGACCTAAGAAAATTGTACATCCAAGTTTACGAGGTTATTATAAAAGGGAGGCTTTTCAATTTTTAAATCTATGTTAAGATTAGTCATGAAAAATTGCCAGTATATTTACAGACGTTTCAATCCGTAAAATTTTCCAGAAAAACCATGTCTCCGGTTTCCCACCTGTTGCATTATGCAAGAAAATATTATAGAAAAATAAACGATGCACAGCGTAAGTTTTAAGCTTCAAAATGAGTCCAGCTTCGTTGTCGTACGACACACTTTTATGAAATTATAACGGTTCAAATATCGGCAATTTGTAGAAAATCGGAAATAGAGCATGCGAATACTTTTTATGCTGTCAGTATATGTATGAATATTTGAGAAAGCTTTTTTTAAACTCCAATACGCAGTTTGTACCTCGCATCTACTGATACGATATGTTCGCAATATGACTCAGATCCTTTTTTTACAGGCAATGAACGAATCCCTGAACGTGAGCACGCTGATGCCTGTTGTCTGTTCCGGTGCTGGTACACTGATAGCACGATACGATGAACACGCTCTCGTATCGAGGTTTAAATTCGGCGTTCTTCATCAACGTGCCGGTCAAGTGACGGAAGAACAGCTTTTCGGGAACAGGCAAATTACACCAGCTTTCCAAGAATTTCTTGACTTGTTGGGTCAAAAAATCGATTTGAAGGATCACAAAGGGTGAGTCACGAATCGCGAATAGTTCATTCAGTTTCCAATCATGTAGATTTTTAAAAATCTGCACTTTTTATTTGTTCTAATAACTATTGAAACTAAAATTTTATTTCCAACTTACTGAAAATAGTGGGACATTATCTAGAAAAATACATACCTCTATCTAGTTTCGCTGAAATGATTTTGTGTTCAACAGAGAGAGAGAGAGAGAGAGAGAGAGAGAGAGAGAGAGAGAGAGAGAGAGAGAGAGAGAGTAGCCTAAGCGACATGAAATAAATATTACGATTTAATCATTCTTGATTTTTACTAGTAATGTTTAATTTTTCTAGACATTTGCACATATAGCAAAGATTATCGAATTGAGTAGATATGAATATTTTCCAGTTCATTGGAAGAAAAATGATATTTTGTGACCGTAAATCAACTGTTGTAGGCTTGGAAATAGATCGTAAAACAAGAAGTTAATCTTTGTTCTAGTGCGATTCCCGTAGTGAACGTATGCATTAGACACCGCGTTTACGTGACTCTGCAATATTCTTCCCGTAGAATTCTGACACTTCAAGTTGTATCCCTCAGCGATCCTTGCTTACTCAGCAAAAATAAATGTATGTGCACATTTCTTATACCCTCAGCCGCTGATACAGAAAACGTTGCAGTCTCTTTAACCCTTTCGTTCCAGCGGACTTGCACACACTCCGCGGCACAGTTTTGCAACTCTACGCTTCGTCGCGAATTGAGCATACTATCTGTTACTTCTTGCTATTGTACAAATTATTGGATATGTATTCCAGTTATCTAAATTCAAAGTATGACGGTAGAAGTTGGAATAATCAAATTCGAATATTCGCCAGACTGAGGAGCACAAAATTTTCCTAGATGACTATAATTATCTTTGGGAATGATAAATTAACAGGGGAACAACTGGACAAACTTCTTATTTTACAATTATTGGAAATATTAAACCGCTTTGAGGAAAACCTCTTATTTATTACCGAAATATTAATGAATGCAGTTCTACATTTACTCGAAAAATTGTACACTTGTATAACTTTGATAATAGATTTAAAGCTGTCGCTATAGCCCACATGTTGAATGTTGCAGATATCGTGGAGGTTTAGATACCCGACACGGACAAACCGGTGATTCCGCGGTGTATGAAGTATTCCGCGGACGAGAAGTTCTCTTCCACGTTGCTTCTCTTCTCCCATACAGTCCCGGAGACTCTCAGCAATTACAGCGCAAAAGACATATCGGTAATGACATCGTTGCAATAATATTCCAAGAGGAGGCAACACCTTTCAGCCCAGATATGATTGCCAGTCACTTCTTACACGCATTCATCGTGGTACAAGTCGTTGACCCCTGTACTTCCAATACGAGGTATATTCTTAGATTCGTATGTATATATACTGTTTGCATAGTATGGCACCGCGAAATCCAAATGTATCAGTTACGAAATCATGGTTCCGGAGCTTAAACAGACGGCTCCTTAAAATACAGTGGATTGCGCTGGATATCCCTCGTTGCCCGGACTTGTTTGTTTGTCCCGATGAAATACGTTAAATATACGTATTCTATGGTTATAATCATGATATAAAAACATTACTCCTTTGTTATCGTAAAATATTTTATATGTAGAACCGTAAAGTCTTATGGAGTGACAAGTAACGCTGTTGTAATTATTTATCTGCTGTGAAACTCGCACTGTTCTTCCTTGGTGTCTTTTTCTGTTGATCTTCTATTTTCGTTGCAGTAAATATAGAACATAATGAAGTCTATGCAGAAATATAACAGTGTCAACTTTAATACGTGAGAAATTCGATTGTTATGGGAAGTCAAATTTTAGATTTTGCTCCTTCAAAAATTTTAAATTTTTTTGTAAAAATCAAGTAATACATATGCAATATTGAATTGATTGCAAGTACAGAACTTTTATGTACATTATATAGATGTAATTAAAAAAAATACGGACGGCTCGCAATGTTCAATATGAATAGCTGTAAAACTCGTTAAATCTTTCGCCGAATTTCGCCAAATAACAGAACAAATAAATCCCCTTTGTGTTCAATTACAGAACAACAGTTACATCATCGTGAGATATTTTTGACCGGTTGTTTATTTACTCCGAGTGCAGGTACAAAGTGAGTGTGACTGCGCGAAACGACGTTCCATGGTTCGGACCAGCTCTACCGACGCCAACTGTGTTTTTGCGCGGAGTCGAATTCAAGGAATTCCTTTTAACGAAGTTGGTGAATGCTGAAAATGCCGCGTACAAAGCCGAGAAGTTCTCAAAACTGGAGGTAGTCGATTTCCCTACATTTTTAAAATTTGGACACAACAAATAATCAGAATTTTGTATTTAAAAATTCACTCAAGTTGATCTTCCTTTATACAAGCAGAAACAAAGTTGCGCCTAATTGTGCTTATCAGGTAGACTACGGATTTTTATGCAAAGTAAAATTTTCTATAGTAAACATTGATAAACATTTCTAAATTCTTTAAATTATTCTTCGTCTGCGAGATTGAAATTTAACCTACCCCTTTTTCAATTTTTCAATCTAATAACGAAATCAATTTTGAATGTACAGCTAAGGACAAGATCAGCACTTTTGGAGTCCCTGACAGAAGAGCTGCAAGCCAAAACCGCCGAGTTTCTTGGAGGAGCGATCGGATTAGGAGGTCCTGGTTTGGGGTTCGGAGGGAATTGTCCAGTAAGTCCAACAGCGAGCGACACATCAGGATCCGGAAGTGGAGGCAGCGGTTCCAGATTCATTGACACGGTTCGGAAAGCTTTGATATCACGTGTTAGAAACGCGTCGACGGAGAGCGTGCCGCAACAATTATCAAAGAAGGGTCAGTCCGAGCCCAGTCCACCCAGTAATCGGCAGTCTACTACGAAGATTAGTGGGAAGCGTTCGGTAGAACCATCAAGTCCCTTGGGTTCCCCGGATTTGACCCTCCGAAGGGATTCGGAACGCGGAAGCCCTAGTTTAGGAAGTCAGGACAGTAGTTTGTCCAACACAGACAATCAAGATAGCAGTTTAGCTACTCTGCAACAGGACGAGGTAGATCGCAGAGAATCTACCGTGTCGGTTAGCGTCAACAATGACACAACGATTGTGGACAAAGCTCCTGTACAGTCGGTCCAGAGATTAACGCACGAGAACCTGCGGAAACAAGAGAGATCAGAAAAAACGGAGACCACGCAACGCGTCATCTCAGAAAGTGACGACAGTTCGTTGAACAGCGAATTGGAACTCGATCAGGCTGTATATCCAGATAGCGATACTGGCCTTGAATCGATGAGTTCCGCAGAGACTCATGAAACCGCACGATGCACCACTAAGGACGGTGTCCTGGAAAATGAGAACTTGAGGATGGAAGTTACTAGGCTTAAGTGCGACAAGTTAGACTTGCTAAGGCAGAATGTGGTAAGTAAAGATAGCTACTGTCCTTCGAAAGAAGTTGAAAAATTTCAGTAGAAATAATAATCAAAATTCAATCGAAGTTTTTTTTGATTAAACGGGAAAGAACCAAAAATGTGATGTATACACTAGATATACAGGTCTTCTTGATTTTTCTGAATGATCTGATCTATCTTTGATTTCATAACAATATTAACTGATATCAAGACGAGTCCAACGACCTGTAACACTCTGATCTTCAAATGACCTAGAGTTCAGAAAAGAAGATCAGATGCACGGGAATAAAAAGAGATGAAATTTTCTGTTTTCATATTTAATTAAAATTGATTCAAATTAGTAGAAGAAAACGTCTCATTTAACCAAGGGAACGTGTATCTAAATTTTTCGACCTTTTATAATAATTTGTATTTTATCATTACTAACATATAATATTGTATTTCAGACTTGTCAACGTGACATAAAACGTCTACGTGAGAAGGAGCTTCATTTACAATCAGATCTTGCAGCTGCTTCAAAAGAAATTTTGCGGTTACGGGCGCTGCTGAAGGATTGTTCGACGAGTATTCCATTGGACAACAACAATCAACAAACGTCTACAGTTTAAATGTTATTTTACCATGTCTTTAGTACACCTATATTGGCGAGTAACTTCCTGTTACTATTCTTAGATTTTATTCATTAATTAGGTGCAGTAGTTGAAACACTTACTTTTTTCGGAATTGCTTCTATTGAATAAAAACAAACAACTTTCCGAACTTGCTTTCTGAAAGTTTAAAATTTGCAATCGAAAGGCTTTACGTTTGATTTTAACTGATATGGTTGAACTTTAATTAGATAGAAATTCGTACAAAAGCGGAATGTCAGAAGAGGCATTGTCAGTGAATGGTATTTAAAGATGAAATAAAAGTGAGTCTGCGATATATATAATTATAGCAACGCGTCTTTCGAGATATTTGCAGCGGAGCTAATTGTTACTTGTAGTATAATACTTGTTTCAATTTAAACCATATTATTTATCTATTAATTTATTAATATGCGTAAGTTGACCTCTAATAGTCAATATAATTACAAGTAAATGGTCACGTAAATACGTACAAACGTGAATGTAGATAGAAAAATTCAAAGAAATAGATGCATCTTGTCATTATAATATTAGAAAACGCTAGTATCAAACAAGTAAAATGGCCTTTAGATTTAGAATTTTCGAAACTAAGTGTAAACACATAGAATCGAATATGATACATTTTATCTGTAATTAAATGTTTATAAATACTATGCAGGATTCCCCAAAAGTCACGGAATTGTTAATTGTTTTAGAAAAAGAAAAATTGTTTCCGAAGAAAGTGTTTTAAACAGAAGTATCGAGATATTAAACATTTTATGTAATGGTCACAATGATCATTAACACTTTTATCTCAAACGTGATTTAATAAAATGTTTTGTTTCTTGAATAATCAACTGTTCTGCAACTTCTGAGGGATCCTGTATATACATATATATGTATATGATGTAACATATGCTGTCATCGTATTGTTATACTACGAAAGACGTGCATATTGACCCGTAAAACAGTATAAAGCGTGTGATACGTGTATCAACTTGTACCAACTAATTATGGGCTCTAGAAATGTGTTTTGTCTATATATTTCTGATGTCCAGTGTTGAAACAAGGATATGTATCATTTCAGTATTTATTGTGGTAAATTTACCAAAACCATTACTAGTTTTTTTTAGTATTAGTCCGCAACAATTCTAGAAAATACGAATGCCTCGTTAATTAATCTTCCGATATTGTTAGCCAACCTAGAGTAAGATTTGGTTTTCTAACCATTCGAACGATTACGATGATTTATGTAGCTGCACCAAATTGTTTAAGTGCACACAGCGTCTCAATGTGTCAATAGTGTTACGAATAGGATACGTATTACCGTTCACTATACACAATTACGCAAACGTAAACTAAATGTAATTCATCTGCTTAGTGATGCACTTTTTATTTTCATTATCTTTCACTGACGGTATTAGTATGATTACGATTATTCTTATGTCCTTTATAGGTATTTTTTTTTCTTTGTAAATAATCGCCTATCTTTCTGTATAGAAAGATGGAAAATGTTAATGAAATGAAAGGATAGAGGGACATGAAAGTTCACTCATATATAATACCAAAGTTTATCATAGTAAAATCTACGTCTCTTAGTTTTCTACATTCCTTTACAAACAATATTCGCCTCTGAAATTTATGTATAAGACAACATATTTTTCTTGATCGAAGGTTTTTTTCTACAAATACAATTCTTCTGAATTTCAATGAAACTTTGTATGCCTTTACAAATATTTTGCAGGTATATCACAATTTATCACTGCCTAAACAATGTCGTTTTAAAATATAACGCATTTCTCCATTCTGATGAAAAATTTGATTTTCCGATGTAACATGAACTAATGACATTTTTTGCATTACTTTCAAATCGGAAAGCTATTAAATCTGAATTCGAATTAAGAGAAAATATGTAGTTCATGAATAAATCGCCAAAACACTAATAGTAACAGTTTATCTTGAACTTCTTTTAAACAATGATCTTTGTAACGCCGGCTAAAATCATTAAGTAAAATATGCCTCTAAAAACAAGTATTTGAATTAGCAATTATCGTAAAGTTTGCAATGATGCTATTTTCAACTGTTCTAAAAAATAATATCCACTATATTTTATAGGATTTACGATCTTCATATTTTCATGATGCTGTCATTTCAGACTGAATATTAGAATATGTCTTCAGATTTTATGATATTTGTAAAACACGATCGGGATTACAACTTTTTTACATACAAAAGCAAAAGATTTAATATTATTCATACTATGTAAAAAATTACTATGTATTTTTTAAAAATATTACATTAAAGATTAAGGATTGAATTACTTTAATCGAAAACTGGAATTAGAAAACTAAAACAATTTGCTATCATAAACCGAAGGAGATGGCAATTCTAATCTCTAGTGTGCATAAATTGCTAAATTAATGAATTGCGAAAAAAGCATCACAAATCCTTAAAATATGTATCACAGTTTATTCTTTTTGTTAATGTTATTGCACAGTGCATTTCAGAACGTGTAAACTTCACTAGTGGATTCAACAGACTAAAATAAGGGAAATAATTTATATGACCTTGTTTACTAAAAATACAGCCGAATTTCTGTCTTCCAATAATTAATTTTTCGAAAATCCGAAGATGGTCACTTCAAACAATTTCTGTAAAGGCAGGTAAACAATCGATGTAATACAAAAACGGGTATATTGAAGCAAGGACATATCGGACATAATATGTTTCTATCATCTCTTCCTTGTTTTAATGTGCTGTTTCCCTTAATGAAATTATATTCGCATCTTTTGAAATATTCTATATAACATAATACAAATCATTAGTATATAAAACAAATACATCCATTCAATGTAAACATTCATGTTTCAAAGCAGAAAAATGTCAACGTTCTTGAAAAATAAATATTGTAAAGCGTCATATTTAGGTATGGATATCTAAATGAACTTCCATTACCGT